CAACAATGTAAAAGATGACTATACATGTGGACCTCACTAGATGGAATACACAGTAATCAAATTGACTACATCTGTGGGAAGAGACAATATCATCAGCCAAAACTAGGCTAGAGGTAGACTGTAGAAGCAACCATCAGTTATGCAGATACAATTTCAGGCTAAAGCTAAAACAAGTCCGTGAGAGCCAAAATTTGACCTTGATATATTCCATCCGAATTTAGAGACCATCTCAAGAACAGATTTGATGTAGTAGATACTAATGACTAAAAACTAGAAGAGTTGTAGGATGACATACATGAAGAAAGAAAAGATCAAAACGAATGTCAGAAGATATACTGAAACTTGTTCTTACACTTAGAGAAGCTAAAGCAAATGAAAACAATGAGGCAGTAAAAGAGTTGAACATGAAATTTCAAAGAGCTGCTCGAGAAGACAAAGTGAAGTATTACAATGAAACTTGTAAAGACCGGGAGTTAAAAGGCCAAACAGAAAGGACACACTCAGCATTTATCAAGCTGAAACAAAGGAAGAAAAAAAATTAAGCCTCAATTTATAAGGATTCTATGGGCTCTGGTAACGTAGTGGTTACTAGTCGAGCTGTTAACCTTAAGGTCAGCAGTTCGAAACTACCAGCTGTTCCACAGGAGAAAGACGAGGCTTTCTGCTCCCATGAAGATTTGCAGCCTCAGAAGCACTATTAAGGGTCCCTTTGAGTTGGAACTGAGTCCATGGCACATAACCACCCACACCATCATGGGCAAAATAATGAATGATGCAGGATGGGAGAAATACTCAGTCACGGTCCCAATAATAATAATAATAATAATCAATACTCATCCATTTCAAGAAGTAGCATATGATCAGAACCAATGGTACTGAAAGAGAAATCCAAGTTGCCCTGAAGTCATTGGTGAAAAACAAGTCTCCGGGAAATTGATAGAATACAAATAGAAATGTTTCAACAAAATGACAAGTGTTGGAGACACTCACTTATCTGTGCCAAGAAATGTGGAAGACCGCTACCTGGGAAAAGATCCAAAGAAAGTTGACCCAACAGATTGTAGAAATCCTTGTACCATATCATTAATATCACATGCAAGTAAAATTTAGCTGAGAATAATTAAAACAATGGTTGTAGCAGGACATAAACAGGGAAATACTTAAAATTCAAACCAGATTCAGAAGAGGACATGGAACTAGGGATATTATTGTTGACATCTGATGGATTTTGGCTGAAAGCAGAGAATACTATATAAAGGCATTTGACTGTGTGGATTATAACAAATTCTGGATAACATTGCCAAGAATGCGTATTCCAGAACACTTCATTGTCATGCTCATGGGGAAGTTG